AAAAATTCGCGATTCTTTATAAATTTAATAATTATTATATCATTTTTAAAGAATCATAAATTCGCAATTTTGATTGGCTAAACAAATATGCATGACAATATGCATGATCGGATTATCATTTCCTTATTTGGAACGTTCCTACCTCGATGTCTGGACTTAAGTTCCTCCGCTCTGCTCCGGAAATTACACAAATAAGCAAATCCCGTACGTACGTAGATCGATTAATATATTTATTTACTCGCTGTACGCCCTCTACAATAATGATAAGAACAAAACTCTTCTAATTTACATAATTATACTAATTGTCATGAAACATCGATGCTTATAAAAAATGAATCAAAAAATAGGAAACGATTTTAGCGCAAACAATATGAACCTCTTAGAAGAACGCCTTAAACGTTACGAAGATGAAGCAGGCCAAATTAGTAGTACATTAAAATTAATAGACAGAGTTTCATATTTACGAAAAAACAGAGAAAATGATTCATCAAAGGCAATCATTAGTATTGAAGATTCAATGAACCTTGATCTTTGTTTCGTTCTGGACTGTACAAGCTCTATGTCGCCTCATATCAAAGCAACGAAAGAGCATATACTAAAAGTGGCTAGTTACGTAAACAGCTATAATTCAAATATCCAATTCTGGGTTGGTTTCTGTGGCTATCGTGATCATTCTGATCTTAATTATCGCTTACAAATTTTAGATTTTACTAACTCTCTCGAGAACTTTAAAACGTACATAACCAATAAAGTGACGGCTAAAGGTGGCGCTGACACGCCAGAAGACGTCTTAGGCGGTCTTAATGCTGCAATAACTGAGATGACGTGGAGCAATGCCACTCGTGTTATTATTCATATCGGCGATGCGCCACCACATGGTCGTCGTTTTACCAACTTAAATGATGATGACTATCCAGGAGGTGACCCGAATGGTCTAACTGCAGAAAGTGTGCTAAAGAAAATGCAATTAAAAAAGATTTTATATTACTTTGGAAAAATTAATTATTCTACCGATGTTATGATTAATGTATTTCGTGAAATAATTGGAGAGTTTCCTACATTTGATCTTATGACTACAGGACATAATCTTGAGGAATTAGTCAATAAATTTTGCAAGGCTACTTCTTCAGCCATCTTTTCTTCTATTACACTAACCACAACTTTAAGAAACTCGAAAAGCATATACTCTTTGCAACGAAAGAAACTTCAAATCAATCCACACGAACCTGATTGGACTACTCATCCAGAGAAAATAGGAAAACTTTTATGTTGTATTCCACCTAAAAATCTTGCTGAAGTTAAGGATGAATATTATTTTATTAATTCAAATT